AGGGCTATTAGACTGGAATAAAGTAATAAACTCTGTAGCAAGATAGCACTTGTAAATACACTCCACAGGACCTCAGGTGTAGACGCTGATGGGGCTGGCTGAGGCACAAGAGTGCTTCAGTGTGAGAGTTGCCTTCCCGCTAGGCCTGCACTAGAGCCCCATTCATGCCCCAGCCAGCCCCTCCACAACATATTGAGCTGGGTTGAAGCATCCTAGGCCGGCAGGCTTGTTGCACAAACGGCTAGTTTTGTGCCCCTGGAGGCTTTTCCAATACACCTCAAGGAGAGAGTCACACACTCAGGTTGGATCCATCTCAGTTTATTGTTTGCAAACAGATCGACAAGGGAGTTCAATACTCAAAGCCGTGTCGACCCCTAGCCACGCCCGAAGTTACATTTTTATACCCCTCATGAACAAGATCCCATTGTGGCAATCTGTGTTTTGCTACAGTTTTCTGCAAAGTTTATGTGCAAAGCAGGCAATAACTAATCTGTGTTCCCACAGGAATCAGCCTTATCGTGAACCAAGCATTTGTTCGGACTGTTCTCTCCCCCTAACAGGACCCCCCCACTTCTGGCCCCGCAGTGGTGGGGGAGAGAGGAGAAGAAACAGTTTGCAATTCTCAGCTGTGAAGCCTTTTGTGTAGTGAGATGAGACATTTCTGCTACAGGCTGAGCCCCCGGATCCCTTGCCAGCTGAGGCTGCTCCTACTCAGAGCAACACACTGCAGCCCTGGGCACGTGTAAATGCTGCACCCAGAGCAACAAACCCCAGCACCATATGCACCTGAATTTATTGCATCGCATTAATATGCATGTGTAGACGCTCCACAACCAGAGGCTGCTGTCCTACTACAGGTTTCCCTTGCTTTATGCTGTACATGCGTTCCTGGAAAACGGCGCACAACTCTAATTTGCATAAAGGGAACCCACTTTCCAATGTAACAAATAGGGATACATTCCAAGACCTCCATTGTACTGACGCCCAGTTCTATTTCTACCACTTTTTTTGGTACTCACCAACAGCAGACAGTACACACAAGCACAGGGCATGATCATAATGGGGATGGCAACTACAGAAACGTGTCACAGACAATGAGCAAGGAGCACAGATCCACACAGGAGACTATATTTTGGCACGCGTCACCCACAATGCACCACACAAAGCAGCTGACTGTGGGCTTCCACCACACTGATCGTATAAGAGTGAATTTACCTTACATATAGTGAATTTTTTGTATAAAAAGGGTCATCACATAAGAGTGAATTTGCACGTCACAACCCAAAGTTGTGGTTTTTTGTTTTTGTGTGCTTCGGCACTGCTAAATTATGTCCCTGCCAAATTGCAGCTCCTTTGCACGGTAGAGTTTTCTGCTGCAATAAGAGAACCCGCGTGCAAAAGAGTATTTCCCGCCGTTTATAGCCTTCTTTGCATGGTGCATTTCTTTTGCATCATAGTGATGCACGGTGCAAAGGAGTTCACGCCATTTGTATTTAGATTCATGCCATGTTATTGGCCGATCTTAAATTATGCACACGTGGCGGCTAGCGATTGGCTTGCTAGCCGTATAAAGAGCTTGGGTGGTTTCTGCCTAAGTGGGAGACAGAGCGAGAGCGAGCGTGAGCAATTGGAGAGCGTGAAGATCTCTAAGCGCTGCGCATCCTTACGGACCCAACGCATTTCTTAAGGCGGCAACAGAGGTCTAAACAGCCTCTGGCATCTCCCCGTCGCCGAGCGCAATCCTAGACGTATCCCTATCCTATATACTCAATTTTCGAACCCACGGAGCCTCAGCAACTCCGTGGGAAAGAATTGCTGAACCCGCGGAGCCTTAACGACTCCGGGGCCCAAGGACCGAATTTGTCGTAGTCCTCCAACGAGGATTCAAGCGGAGCTGAACCTGGAAACTGTCCAGCCTACACCGCGACCATCTTGGGTGTAAGTAAATAATCTTTGAATCAAACACTACGCCTCTGTGACTAATTCTAGCCCGTGCCACGGTCTCCTCTGACCCCGTGTGCCCGGGCTGCTAGCCACAGCCCGCGTGCGCAAAGACGGGTCCGCCTATTGCTCCCGGCTTGCACATGGCGACATGGGTGGGACCGGGAGGCGGCCCGCACAGCACATACAGAACCTGCATAAAGCAAGGGAAACCTGTACTTTCCTTGCTTTAGAGGACTGCTTTCCTTGTTTCTATCCCCAAAATACAGCTTGTTAATAAAGGGAGAGTGAAGCTTTCTCCTAGCCTTCGCTGCAGATGTAGTTTGTTGTTTGTTTTTTTAAGGAAAATGTTTCATGTCCCAAGTCAAATCAGCCAAATCAATTCCAAGTCAGTGAGTCATTCAAGAACTGTATGTGGCCCTACTACTGGCAGCGCCCCCCGGGGGCTTCAGATGCTTCTAAATCCTTTGACAGGCATCCAAAGCACAGGCCCAACCCTGGACGTTTGGGGCTCGGATGCCCCCAGGTTTTGCTTGCCTGCAGCCCAAGGCCCCAGGGGCAAGGCAGGGAGGATGCAAGGGCAAGGGGCTCAGCCTCTAGGCCGGGGATCAAATGCAGCCTGTGGAGTCAAGGCATCAGGCCGTGAGGCTCCCCAGAGGGCGGGTAATGTGGTGGGGGAAGCAGCAACCACGACCGCCAAAGACAGGCCGCCGGACCCCCAGGCA